GTCGAAGTCTACGTCAGATGATCGGCCAGACGACGATATGAACTGGGCGTACGGAGATTTATATCCCGCTATTGAGGTAGAATTGGAACTATATCTTAATTGTGCCGCAAATATGAAGGATCGATGTCAATTTATTTCTGAAAGGGAGGTGCCGACAAAGAAAAGGACGACTGGGATGGCTGCTTCCGGCTTGTTAGCCATCGTCAGCTAGCCATACACAGTTTCGGATTTGCAAGACCTTGAATTCAGAGCCGGATCATCTGGTATTTTGAGGTGATTAAGCTTATCGCTCTGCCACAGCCATGGGCTCGTTGATCGGTCGGTTGTGATCAGGAATATCCATTATTGCGGGAAGTGCATTAATCGGTCAGGTAACGGGATGTGCTCGTACCATTACGCCTTATTTTTGCTCTGTTAGCTGCCATCGACTGGCCCAACTGGCATTTGAACCCCAGTCAGTTTCTTTGAAAATGCACAGGGGTCAAGATAACGGTTTTTGAGTCCACCAAGGTGCCAGGATAGTTTCTTGAAAGCACAGCATTAACGCGCCTGTCCTAGATGACTTTAGCCCCCACTCCGACTTCGCGATAAGCACGGACGAGACCTCCCAAGTTCTTTCGAACTTGTTATTACATAACTTGTGTTATTGGGCAGCCGCGCTTCATCCGAGTTTTACTTCCTCCTAGCACACGCCCTTCTGTTTGGCAGTCACCTCTTGTGGACAAGCGAATTGACAATCTATGTTACTGATTATATAGTTGTTTATACGGATGATGATGAAGACACGATCTCCGGGACAAGAGCAGCTCTGGTCCCGGCGATCGTGTCTTCTTCTTCTTCTTCTTCAAGACTGCTTCCTGGGACTCGCCTCTTCGCTTCTATTGATGATGACGATGATTATTATTATTATTACGATCGAATTATTTTCCTTATGCCTACTACAGACATCCTGTTACATCCGCTCGCGTCTGCAGCTTTCACTCAAGAATCTTACAAGGCGATTTTGGGTGCACGATTCCGCCTCTGCGTCGACGAGATAGGACAGCACAATGGTGGCCAGTGAATTTCTGGGTTATGTGCAGTCCTTCTCCGCGTGTACCTACGTGGGCGTGGAGGATCTAGCGGACAGGGCCAACTTCCAGTGGAACGTCATCGTCCTCCTGCTCTGCATGTTGCTGGTCACCGTAAGACAGTACTTCATGGCACCGCTGGTCTGCTACCTGCCAACCACTGTCAGCGGCGGCAACGCGGAGTCCTATGTGACCAACCTCTGTTGGGTGGAGGGCACCTTCCCAATAAATCTAACCTCCGGCGAGGTACCACATACCCTCAAGCAGTGGGATGCCATGCGACCGTTGCAAATGAGTAAGTCGATGTAATCGGTGGACGAAGGCCCTCCCCCCGTTCCCATTCACGTCTCGAACATAGTACAGCACTGAGACTAGCGGCTATTTGTTAGATTGCAATTGTTTTGGAGGTTAAATAACATAGAATGTACTCAGGTGGTTTTAATTCCATTATGATGTGTACTCTTTCGTGCTTCTTTAAGCGACAACTTTGAGAATATCGAAACTGTCAATGTGTTTAGGGCGTTTAAACCTTTGAGGTCGGGAACAGTAAGTCTTCAATTTCCTAAGTCTAAATTCATGCACTTTTTAGAGTTTTTGAAATATCAACCTGAAAAATAGACTCCTTATTTAAAATCGACCGGAGAGTCTGTTAAATGCCGGTTTTGTCGACAAAGACAAACCCCTGGTAGTTCCCAAGCACCGACGAGTCTTAGACTCGCTTGTTAGAATAGCGAGGGGGTTAGGTTTGGCTGTTACGAAATAATGTCCATTGGACACATCCAACCAATAAATGTACGATCGGAATTGCCTAAACTCGTCATACGTGTCGTATTGTAATTTTGTAGACTTGATTGTCCGCGAACCAGACAGTAAATGTTAGTCTTCTACGGTCTGTTACATTTGAACTGGCGGTCGGTACTGCCCTTTTATGGTTTTTTGCCTATCATAGCGAGTCGATACTTCACCAGGTCAAATCGAACGAATTCTCCGTTCAAAAACGGCCAGACTTGCCTGGACACGCCGTCATCAGGTTCAAGTCATGTCACTTGGTGCTTCGCCCCTCGCACTTGTTCCATGACGGATTGTTACATGGTCCGGTATGGGACAGCGAACTGGTGGTGTGCCGTCAACTTTCCAGGATGGAGAACCATTATCGAATGTAGCATTCAAATAGGACTGCAGTTTGATAGGTTCTAGTAGACACCTTTTCGCTACATGACCTCTTCGTTGCCACACAAGCCCCTCGTGGAGTGCGCGTTGACGATCACGAGATCTGTGAAGACGCTGATAGCAATTACTAGTCATTAATGCGGCTGCATAAGATCGGTTCGTCCTACCTAAAAGCATATCTCTACTAGTCAGACAGCCCAGCTGTTTTGTTTATGGCGAACACCCGCAAACTGGATCCCCTCGTCTGACCTTTTGCGGCACTACGACCATTCAGCGCTAAAGATAGCCTCAGTACGGCAAAACGGGCGCCGAGTAGAGACGAAACCTGAAAACACTTGCTCTTTTTTTACAGGCTACTGCCGACAACCAAGTTAAAAGTCCGCACTAAACCAAGAAGGAGCACATACACTAATCTTAAGCCAGTGGAGGTGTTGAGTACGTTATTTTACCAGGACCACAAACGTTATAGGAAGGCCCGCCTATCCACCTCCATCCTCTCCTCTTGCATGCCCTCTTCCCTGCGTCATGGCCGGCTGACTCATCCTTGGGGGAGGGGGGCATGCGAAAGAGATGGGAGTGGGGAAATTTACGTGTGGTGGGCCGGGTGGAGGCGTCTGCAACCCTGTCCCACACGCTGCTGCTGCCGCTGCTGCTTACTCATTCCGGGCAGCGGGAGGGACACCGCGCGCGCAGTCGCGGCCACTTCTGGACTTGGCTGGACTGTTCAGCCCAACGCGGCTAACGTAAGGCAAATGAAGGTTCTAGAGCATATTGTGGGCCAGCCCATAATAGGAGAGGTCACCTAGGGGTATAATTGCACCAAACACGAAACCTTCCTACGTTGTGACAGTTCTACAGCTCCAAGCCAGTCCAAAGGGCCTTGTTCTTCTCTACACGATACCGTCGTGCTAGCACATGTTGTAACGATTGTCATCATAAGTGATTCAGCTGACTCCACGTCACACCACTAATGTTCGCCTCCCATTGCGGTTGCTCGGCGACGGACTCCCGAGCAAAGTTAAGCAAATCGACTCTCCAGTCCCACAGATCGAAGACCGTAGGACCAGAGACGCTGTTGGGGTCAGCTCTGATCACCTTTTCAGTTGGTCACTTCGGTGCCGTCGCCAGCCAACAGAAGATCCGACGCCAGATAGCGACGTGCCTGAGTTAACATTTAAGTTTATGAGGGTGTTATTCGGGTAAGCCGGTGTGCTTAGTTTATGCGGGACAGAGGCGATGATTTGTTTGTCCAGTTGAACGAGGAGCATCACTCCCCGTGGGGGGCATCAACGGACTGCATTTGATCCCTCGCACAATTTAGATTATGGTGAGGGTGATGTGCGTAGCACCGATCTCACTCGCTGCCAAAAAGAAGATCCAACTTACTGAAAATGGATGAGCGCAAAGTGACCCTGTCGTTCGATAATTAATATTTTATGGCTTGCATCCGGTTTCTTGTATGGACCGCATTTCAACTGCGTGAAGTCTACGGACAAGGAGTGAAAATAGGTTAGCGCGTTGTCCAGCGCTGGCTCAGTTGAATCCCATCCTAGGCACCAACACACGCACACTATAACAGTAAGAGTCGAAAAGAACGTGATAAAAGCTGGTTTCCAAACAACTTGGGATCATAGTTAATATTCAAACGGCAGCACTCATTGAAACCGTTTGCGTACGGCCCTTTTGTGCGCATGTCAGCTTTTAGCCACCTCGGAGATGTTTCTGACCATGTACAAAACGGTCAGAAGTATCTTCTAATAATTTCACAAGCAGCCAACGAACTGTTCAACCCACCTCTACAATAATGGGACAGGATTTGTCCAATATAAGTCAAAGGAGCTGGCTGTAAAAAATAGACTAGTCGGAAAAGGAAGCTTGATCTACCCGAGCGCCGTTTCTCCCGCAACTAATGGACGCCATTTCAAAGGTTTATTCCGTATTCCTAATAGACAAGAGTTGTCGTGTTTTGGCATCACAGTTGTTTGCAAATGGGTCGATCTAAAAATCGATACCTCCCTTCCCCATACTTACAACCCGCCGCCTACACCCCGTCTTCTTTCCGCTTTTAGACTATTACCAATGGGTGCCGTTGGTTCTTGGTCTTCAAGCCATCATGTACTACTTGCCGAGGATAATCTGGAGCATTTTTACCTACAACCGGACGGGCACCGACCTTCAGAATGTCATTCGTTCGGCCAATGCCGCCTCCAAGGACGAGGGCGAGAAACGAGAGAAAACGGTCCGCCATCTGGCCAAGAGTCTCGAACTGATGCTATTCAGTCGCCGCGAATACCATAACCGCGGTGCTCGAACCGAGCGTCTGCTTGCTCTCCTGCCCGGAAAGCGACATGGCAACAATCTCATCTACTACTACCTCGGCATCAAGCTGCTCTACGTGCTGGTGGGTTTCAGCCAGCTCTACCTCATGTACGTTTTCCTGCGTTTTGACTCCCATGAGGGCTACTTCTTCTTCGGCATCCGTATTCTCGCGGACATTACTCGCGGAAAGCCCTGGACTGAGACGCAGATTTTCCCCCGCGTGGGTATGTGCCGACACACCCTACAGCACGTGGCTGCCAGCAATAAGCTCTTTGCACAGTGTGTCCTCCCAATCAA